ATTGTGATATCTAGAGTGATTGTAGCTCTTGTCCTAAGTTCTCGTGTGTTGGTGGAGCCAAAATATAGCCAGAAATTAGTATATTTATTGGTATCTGTGACTATTTAGGCAATTATTTCATGCGGCCGTTTAATTAATCAACTTGCACATGTACGAAATCGACTATTCCTATCCAAGGTTTACTCAAATTTGCCAAAATCACTCTCATCTAAAAAGGCTCCGGCACACATTTCAGGTGTAGCACTGGACTCAAAATGGCGTCAGAAGTGGATCGGACGTAAATTAGGCCCGGCCGGACAAAGGGCCGGATCCGGTTGTTAAAGATTAGCTTCGAAACGCCGAATGGTAACACATAAACAACTCTCTTGTGTGTGTGCGAGACCTGTCTGGGATAGGTCGGTATTTCCGAGTGGTACTGCAACCCATTCCTGTATTCGGCAAAATACAAGTGCAAGAAGTCATCGTCTGATCTCGCAGTTAAGCTATACAAAAACTGTTTGGAAAAATATATAAAATGCAGAACGAAAGAGAGAGAAAGAGAAAAAAAGAAAAAGAAAGAATTAGAAATAGTAGATATAAAGGCCAAGATGATGTGGTCTTCGGTTTGATGGCAGTCTCCTTTATCTTAATAGTGTTGGTTCGACCTCAGTTTCGCAACTTTGTCTTGTTGTCAGTCTTCGTGTGGCATAGCTCGTCCGAAATCCCCTGCTACAGTTGGTATCATAATTTCCAGCATCAGACCGTGTATTTGGGACATTCTCAGACGTTTTACCGGCATCGTGGTCGGCATCATCAGAGACAAGACTTGTCTCTTTGACGAGTTGTAGCCTGGTGCTAAGAATGGCAAGACTCACCGACTACAATGTTGACGAAACGTCTGAGAGTGTACCAAGTCCACGGTCTGAGGCTGGTAATTACGATAACAACCGTAGCCGAGCACTTCAGACAAGGTGTATCGAACTAAGCCGCCCTGACAACAAGACCAAGTTGCGAAAACGTGGTCAGCCTACTGCTATGCATCAAAAGGAGACTGCGACCATACCAAGGGCCACACCATCTTGATCTTCATATCTTCAACGCTATAAATATTGAGAAGGTTAGGTGATCCAAAGACTTGTGTAAGATAGGTTGCTAGTTGGTGTTTTAAGGGTCACAAATGATCAAAGTCATAGAGCTATGTCTATTTACAATACTGATTGACTAAACTCAAAGTAAATCGGCTAGGCTCCAATAGTGCCAACCGAATGATACCGATTCGGGATCCAGCATGTCTGAGGTGGAGCCTGACTGCGTCTGACGCCAGGCAGTCAAGCCCTGGCGAGGGTCGGGTGATAGTCCATGAGCCAGAAATGGCAGTCTTTCGCAATCTAGGCCTGCTTCAGGTCGACAGTCGAGATATGCGAGTGGTCAGTCCTCCTCTGCGGACGGAACAAGGCGAGCCGGCGTCTCGTCGGCTGCCGGGACTCGGACTTTCGACCGTTTGCTGCTTTGGGCGAGTTCAACGGACCGACAGTCGCGTCACGACGGCCAGCGGCGTCTGAGACGCGTCTCGGCCGGCGGGGTGGGAAGTCAAGCGACCTGTAGTCGTCGAGATGGGCACTTCGGGGCGCCGTCTCGAGGGGACGACCGAAAAAGGAGGGGGTGTTTGGCGACAAGAGGGAGGCCGGTGACGACAGAGGCGAAGAAGGCTGAAGAGCGGCAAGAACGGCAGGACTCGGAGCATCCCGTCTCGACGGCGAGACCCCAGACTGGCCGTCAACCGGTGATCTGGGCGCCTGGAAACTGGGTGTGCTCACCGCAGACATTGTGGCCTCCTCTTCGAGGTAGAGGCGTTCGTTGACCTGTGCCCAGTCGGCGAGTGCACCCGCCAGATACTCGAAGGTCGGTCTCATCTCGGGCTCTTGGGCCCAACAGTCGAGCATCTGCTCGTACAGACTCACCGGACAGAGCTGGCGCACCAAACGAAGCCGGACAGTGGGTCGATCTAGGACGCTGCGCGATGACGTCTTTTCCCTCGAAGGCTCTCCGCGATCACCAGCCACCACCTCCTCTTCATCTTCCTCCTCCTCCTCTTCCTCCTCCTCCTCCTCCTCCTCCTCTTCCTCCCTCCCCTCTTCATCCCGTTCCCCCTCCTCCTCTGCCTCACCCTCCCCCTCTCGCCTACCTGTAGCGGTCTCGAGATGGCCAAAACGCTCGTCAGCAGTTGCCGTCACCTTCAGCAACGACATAAATGGCCGTGGTAGACGGTAGCCCATGCAGACCTGATCGCGAACTTCACGTGAAGTTAGGCCTGTTTTGTGTGCGGGATCGACAGTAGTTGTTGGGCAGTCAAGAGCGGAACCGAAAGAGTACAGATTTCCTCATATACTGAGAGTTCGTCTTTCATGAATGCAAAGCCAAACAATGACTATTTGAGATGTGATTGTTGTGAAGACTTTCATTTCTTATGAAAGTTGGCTGATTCGCGATGTACTGCAGCCGTTTGGCCTTAATACGACGTTCAGGCTAATGCAGTCCAAAGTTTTGGGCGAAGATGGGCTCTGCTTTAGTTCGTCATGTCAAGAACATCATCAGAGCTGGGACTTCCTCGTGTACTTCCATACGAAACGAAAGTCCTCACATCAATCTTACCTCAGAAGAATCTCCAAAACCCGAATTATCTTCGTATATTTAAAATGTGTGCACCCCATTTCGGTTGAAGTGATGAAATACTGACAGTTTAATTTTCCTATAATGATATGAGCAGACCTTACGCTTCCATTGCATTTCACTTAACCCTGTTTCCCAAAATGTATTCTCATCCAGGCCGAAATAGACTGAAGTTTTGACCTTACCAAAACTTCATCATATATCTGATTTACTGGTAGCCTCGAAAGCCTACATATAAACGAAAAATAAGTAATGTGGTTGATTGCTGCAGCAAACCTGCTTAACAGATAATCCCACGACAGAATGTGATATGGGAAAATGCATGACCTGTGATCCA